AAGAGAAGACCTACCCCGCCTTGTACTGCAAATCTCCTTTTCTCAGATTCTTAAGGAAACAGTAGTATAGATTTTCCCTCTGCACCAAATCCCTTGAACTATTTCCCTTGGCCCTCCTGTGCCCCATATTTCTGGAACTTTAAAAAGACCATACTTAAAAAGGCCACTCTGTTACACTGCCTGTCCTTTGACAATATGGATCTTCAGGTCACCTAAACAAGTACAACTCTGTCCCCAGAAACTTGGAAACAACCAGAAACTGAGACAAAAATGTATCCATCCAGGTTTATTATGATAAGTTACAGTTTGAAGGGCTATGTGAAGCTTTAGTCACTGATTCAATTTGGAGGAGATTCAACCTGAATCCAAATCAAATCGAGAGAACCATTAAAAGATCTGAATCGAATTCGAAGACTGAATCGATTCGGAAAAGATTCAGAGAGGTTCAGATCAGTTGGGGAGAGGCAGGCTCAGCCAGGCAGCTTCAGGTTCTCTCGCAGCTCCTCCGGCTGTGCCTGCCTTTCCCCAGGCAGAGGGAGCCACGGGAGAAGCCCCCATGGTTGCCCTGCCCGGCCCCAGCCTTCTGGCACTTAACAAAAAAAAAAAAGCCCTGTGCACACAGGCTGTAGCAGCAGTGTTCAGAGCCCCCCTCACCATGCAGCGCGGGACAGTAGGGAGCAGCAGGGATCACCCCCACCATGCCTGGCATCTGCGTGGCAGCTGCCCCATGGCGTGAGTGCAGTGCGGCTCAACAGAGCGCTGTCTGGGAGCTGAGGCCACCAGGGCTGAGCGGTGCTGGGCTCCAGCTGACTGCTGGAGCTGCCCCAGCTCCCAGAGAGTGCACAGCACCCTGCCAAAACATGCTGCACCCGCACGATGTGACAGCTGCCACATGGGTGCCAAGTGTTTCATAGTTTCATAGTTTTAGGGTCGGAAGGGACCTAATAGATCTTCTAGCCCGACCCCCCGCCAGGGCGGGAGAACAACAAAAAAAAACCCTAAAAACAAAAACGGGACTCAAATGAGTCCAGCCAGGTAGGTATCCAGCCTCTTCTTAAAGATCCCCAGGGTAGGGGCCAGCACCACCTCCCTTGGAAGTTGGTTCCAGCTCCTAGCCGCCCTGACTGTGAAGTAGTTTTTTCGGATGTCCAATCTGTACCTCCTCTCCATCAACTTGTGCCCATTACTCCTTGTTATGCCAGCGGGGGCTAGGGGAAACAGCGTCTCCCCCAAACCCTTCTGGTTCCCCCTAGTGAGTTTATAGACGGTCACCAGGTCCCCCCTCAGCCTTCTCTTGTGGAGGCTGAATAGGTTCAGGTCCCGCAGTCTCTCACTGTAGGGTCTGCCCTGTTGTCCCCGGATCATGCGGGTGGCCCTCCTCTGGACCCTCTCCATGTTGTCCACATCCCTCCTGAAATGGGGCGCACAGAACTGGACACAATACTCCAGCTGCGGCCTGACCAGCGTCGCATAGAGGGGGAGGATCACCTCCCTGGCTCTACTCGAGATGCACCTGTGGATGCACGACAAGGTCCGGTTAGCCCTGCCAACCATGACCTCGCATTGTCGGCCCATGTTCATCTTGGAGTCAATAATGACACCAAGATCCCTTTCCGCCTCCGTGCTCTCAAGTAGGGATTTCCCCATCGTATAAGTGTGCTGCTGGTTCCTACTACCCAAGTGCAGCACCCTGCACTTGTCCGTATTGAAACACATCCTGTTCCTGTTTGCCCACCCCTGTAACCTATCCAGATTACAAGTGGGGGGAGGGGGGGAAGAAGGGCGATCTCCGCTTCTCCCCACTGCCCTGCACTGCACAGGGGGGTTCTGCCATGAGCCCACAGAGGCCCCGATTGCCACTGCTGCATCCAGTGAGTGCAAGGGGTTTTTTTGGTTTTTTTAAAGTGCTGGGAGGCTGGGGCTGGGCAGAGGATGGGGCCGGGCAGGGCAGCCATAGGGGCATCTCCCATGGCTCCCCCTGCCTGGGGAGAGGCAGGCAGAGCTGGAGGAGCTGTGGGACAACCTGCGGCCGCCTGGCTGTGCCTGCCTCTCCCTATCTGATCCGAATCTCCGAATTAACGCTGAAACAGTGTCGAAACTCCAAAACAGATTTGGCCGAATCGAAACAGAACAGTGATCCGAAACACCAAAACAAATCACTGTCCCTCCGAAACGGGCAAATCCAAAACCCAAATGAAATGTAGCCGTTTCACATAGCCCTAATGTTTTGTGTGGTTAAAGAACCTAACCTGTGTAATAAATGGGCAGGGGAATCGCAGACATATTATTGTCTTCAGCCAGGATGACACTACACAGGAAGGATGGCCAGAATAAGGACCATGTCATTTCAGTTTTATGGCTGGGCAAAACTCTCCCACCCCACTCCCATCATTATTTATAAACTTTTGTGTTTTTTTTTAACATGAGGGCAAAATGCATCCACATACATAGATACTGGCTATGTAGACTCTGCTGACCTGCTGTGCCAGAGAGTAGTGTAATCTGATTGTATTTCTGAGTAGCACACCTTTTTTCTCCAAGACATCACTGTTTTCCCAAAGGGATGCAGAGACCCTTTCAAGTCTGATAACAAGAACACTGTCTCAACAAAGGTGATAAGAGGGTCATGCCTCATTTCCTACCACAAAGAAATCACAGACTGAAGTCAAAGTAGTCCAACTTATGTTATGCCTAGGGGCATTCACTGCCTGGTGCCAAAACCAGGGAGAGGCAGGAAGAAATAGCTGCAAGAGTTGCCAGCTGAATTCAGAGTATTTGTCTGATTACAGATTCTGAAAGATATAGAAGTCTGTGAATGAGAGTTAGACAAATACATTGGCTTGGAGTTAAAAAAAAAAATACACAGTGAAACCCTTTGTATTTGGGGAACTTCAAAGCCAAACCTATCAATAATTCCTTCATCTTGTAACAGACCAAGCCAAAACCTCGGATGTGATCTACACATTGCTGAATTGACCTTTCTGTTCCTGAAAGGGAGCTTTGATAGACAGGGTGGAAGGTGTACGAGTTCTTTTATGTTCTTTACTCTGGGTAGGAGACAAACGAGTCTCTCTCCTTCAGAATGGTAAATAAGCATTTCCTTTTACCATTCAAAGAGAAACAACTTCATGTCCTCAGAGATAAGCACCTCCAAAATCTGTCCTCTTTCTTAAATCTGAGTGAAAAGGAGTGGGGTAGCCACTCCAGTCAAGTTCCACTTGCAGTCTCAGATACCAACCACAATAATTTGTGCAGAAAGTACCAGCAGTAAAATAATTAATGGGATAGCTATATAAATAGCGTCATTAGGCTACCACTGAAGGAAATGAGGGCATTTCACAGCACTCATAGCCTAAAGACAAGAACACAGCCCTGCAGTAGTTCGCACTCCAGAGATCTTCCTTGCAGATATCTGAACTAGAAACAAACTTTCCCCCTTTGCACATAAGCTCGAATTCTTCAGCTTGCTATGTAGGGCCTCTGGAGAAGTAATGATGGGAAGTGTAGCAGTATGTAACAGCTCGTTCTAACTGCTGCTCTTTTCTTTATGCTAGGTTCTGGATTGCTCCCAGCCACTTCCTGCTCTACCGGGAGATCATACTTGGCTTCACCTGGCTGCTCTTCCCTCCTGCCTAGCAGCTAAAATACTCTCAAGCACAAAGCCTGTTCCTTTCTGCATAACAAAGAAAGGGTTTGAGACATTTGCTGCAAAGCTCCACATGGAATACATGCATCCTTCCCTGTGCTGGCAAAAAAAGCAAACAGCATCTCATCAGTGCTTCCAGTTAATTAAGATAACTCCTTCCCCTCCAAAAAACCCCTCAAAGCTGCAAAATGTGTCACAGAACAGAACAGTCTCACTGACAAGAGCCATTTTGAGGAAATTTTACAACCATGACCCTGGGAAGCTCCCTCTTGCTTTTCAGCTACAGAGAAATATAGAAAGCTTCAGAACTGGGAACTGTAACATTAATTCTTTGGCCCCTTCTGGCAAAAACTCTCAAATCACTTTACAAACATTGGGTTAAGTCTCACAATCCTCTAGGAAGGTAGATATAATCATCCTCTTATTGCAGACAGGTGGATTGCAACAGAAGTTACAGTCCTTTGCCCAAGGTCACAGAATTAGTCAGCTGGAAGCAGAATGTAAATCACTGGGTCTCCTGCTCCAACCACTGAGAACCCTTGGAGCAGTGCCATCAGAAAGACATGACTTTCTACAGACAGTCAAAGTCTATGGATGTTTGGGGCTTCTGTGGCAGCCTTTCTGCTAGTTCAAACATTTACATGTTTGATACTTCACTCAAATGTGAAGCCCCCTGGGTCTCAATTGTGATCATACAGATGAATAAATGTATACACGGGCACCCAGCAACATAAATCTGCCTAATGCATAAGTAGTCCCATCAGTCTACATGTACAAATTTACTACACATTTTTTCTTTCGTACTGAAACATCTGAGTACTTCCGCCTCTGGTGGTTGTCAAAATGTATTAGATCCACAAAATAGATATTTTACCACATTTTTATAAAAATAAAATTTTAATGTTAAACATTATAAAAATACACATGACTTCAAACATCTTAATTTTGGTTTATGTTGTAAATTCTAGGAGGCCAAGATAACATACAATCCCTCTTAATTTAAGGCAGAAGTGCTAATAGATCAAATATTATCCTTCCACCATTTTGCTCAAAGTCTAACTTAAAGTAGTGTGCAATCACTAAAGTCATATGTATACACAAGTATTTGCTCAAAATGGAACTCACAAATATCACTTAATAATGGGTTTATGTAGCCATAGAAGTTTCTGAAGATGAGGAACACTACATTAATGCATGACATAATGGCTATTCATTGCTAATTGGTAGCAGTGGATGGACATCCTAGGCTCTCCCCATCGTCCTTTAGCCCCAAACTTGGAAAAATTCTTCCCCATGTTGAATTACTTGCATTTTACCTAGTAAGAAGGGAGTTATAGCTTTTGGAGAAATAGGGATTGGTTTTCTGAAGAATTTGCACTTGGCGCACACACACTTCAGTTGAATCAAGTAAAATGTCTGCTTTGAGACATCTCAATGATTTTAACGAATAATGTGCAGAATGCACATTTTCCCCAATCTCCTGGCTCTCTTCTCCACTGCCACTGTTTCTAAATGAGGTCTAGTACATTGTCCAAAGGGATGATCAATGACATTAAAAAATTCTTCTAAAACATCCATATTTCAGGGGCACAAACGCTGAGAAGCAACTGAAGGTAGATCTTCTGTATCACATCCTTCACTGGGGACAATGTTGGGATATCCTGTATACTGAAGAATATTCATGGTGCTGATGGGGGGACAACCTGATGGCCACTGGACACTGGTCATAAAGTACTGGATGATGGTGGAAGATGTAAGAAACCTGTCAAGAAATTAACATAATAAATACATGACAAAATTAAACACAACATCCTAGTCTTTTAACTTAATGAAAATCAATTGTTAAATAATCAACACATAATGGATGTTAAATGGCAGACTGATCAGAATGATCCATAGCATCTATTCACTAACGGTAAGCAAACTTCATAGTGCTAAGTTGGGCAAACCTCATGTGCAATTAAGTGTCTTCAATTCCTACTGGTTGCAGTGGAACTTATGCAGACGACATGAGGTACTCATCACTTTTCAGACTAGCTGCCTTGACATTGGAAGCAAACACGCTTCTTGGTAAGACTTCCTCTACTCTGCCTTGCTGGCTGAGTTGGAAAGACCATGGCCAGGTTCTGCCAGTTAAACACTTGGGGTTATACATTCTATGACATACTCTCAACAAGAGTTTAATTGGGCAAAGTCTGAGAAAGACTTGTCTTCTGGAAGTATGGCACTTCCCATTCTCGCAAAAACCAGAGTGTAGCAAAACCGCAAGTTTTTCTTTTTTTTTCTTTTAAAATGCATTCCCTCCCCTTCCCCAGCCATTTCTGCCTTTGTCTCTCCCTCTCTAATCCCTGACATTCTATGACATACTCTCAACAAGAGTTTAATTGGGCAAAGTCTGAGAAAGACTTGTCTTCTGGAAGTATGGCACTTCCCATTCTCGCAAAAACCAGAGTGTAGCAAAACCGCAAGTTTTTCTTTTTTTTTCTTTTAAAATGCATTCCCTCCCCTTCCCCAGCCATTTCTGCCTTTGTCTCTCCCTCTCTAATCCCTGTAGATAAGTATAAGTAAACTAAGATGTAGGATAAGCTTTAACATTTTATTTTAGGTAGTAAGTTTTTTTTCTCTCCCCTCTGCAAATAAGTGCCCTCCTATTTTGATATAGATATCTACTGTTTTATAAGTAATAATTATTATGTTTGTATTGATTTTTTACTGCTTTTATATTGTGCGATTACTGTTTTAGGCCTATATATGTAAGTTAGCATAAGTCATGTCAAGTTTCCATCTTGTAATGTCAAGCCTCCATCTTATCCCCATGCCCAGTTGTGTAACCTATGACTCATACTACCCCTCCTATGTAACTTGGTTCCTGAATGAATGGGGATGAATAAGGGTGCTTGAGAGACAATGGCAGTAGGTCTAAAAATAGCTCTTTCTGAATGACTGAACTATCAACACCAATACCTGGACCAATGACCCAGCCAGTGGAACCACCCTCAGCATTCAAGAAACAAAAGATGAGGCAACCCACCATTGTGCCAAGGCTGCATATGCTCAGTAAGAACATCTGGAACCCTCTGGACCAGGGCTGACCTTGCCTGGACAGGCCCTCCCCATAGGAGATCACAGGTAGTCTGCCCCATAAAAAGGGGTAGTGAAGACTGACTCCTTGGGATGCCTCTCCATCTGGACCAGCACCATGCCAAACCACCTATCCACCCAGAGGCCCTGCCCCTCTGGACAATACCAGCTAGACAAAGACCCCTTTCCAGCCTGGATAGGTAGCTATCACCTCCTACCCCCTCTTCAGCCAAGGACTTGGACTCTGCTTCTCTTCCCTACCTGGACTCCAACCCTTCCACTACGTCTCTTTCTCCTGCTGCGTGTGTGTGTCTGTGTGTGTGCATGTGTGTGGGTGTGGTGTGTGGGTGTGTGTTTGAGAGAGACAGAGAGAGAGAGAGAGAACCAATAACTGCATAGGGCTGTGTAGTGTGTTCTCTGTTTAATAAACCTGTTATTTGGACCCCTGAGTTGGGTTTTGCTTTACTATGGTTTGGCCCTGTTCCAATCTCTGCTCCTTGCCCCTCTAACTTCTCTCTCATTTCTCCCTCTCCTGCTTCTGGCTCACCACCACCTCCAACACGTCCTGAGCTCCTCTCTGCCTCCAAAGCCCCTGTTTCTTTGCCACTGTCTTATCCCCACTGCTTTTTCCTCTGAGCTCCCAGGTTTCTGCCTCAGTTTCTTTCCTGGCTGTCTCCTCCTTGACACCAATTATCTGCCCCCCATCCTCCCCCCACCACGCCAATATCTCAGCATCTCAGCTGTCTGCCTTAGTTTCCAGCCCCAAGCTCCCAGGTTTCTGTCTCTCTCTCTTTCCTAGCTGTCTCCTCCTTGCCAGCAGGCTTTTTTTTTCCCCCCTTGCAACAGTGACCTCGAGTAACCCTGGGGCCACTTGATCTTAAGTAAACCCAAGCCTCAGTTCCCAAGCCAGCTTCTCTCTAGTCCACCGGTTCTAATCCTGGTTCTGGCAACTTTCATTCCCTACAGGCAACTTTCACTCCCTACACTTTAACTCTTTCTCACCTGAACCTTCCCCCAGGTACCCCAAACACACACATACATACTGTACCATCCAAGTTAGGAACTTACCTGTGTGTATGTGTAGGTGGGTTGTTCGGGTGTGAACTGGTGAGTGTGTGTGTGTATATATATGTCATTGTGTGCATGATATACGAATTAGTGATCTGTGTATGTGTACTGAGTGTGTGGGTATGGACAATTGATTTTTGTCTAACTTTTGGGGTGTATAGTATATGTGCTTGAATTGGTGATAGGTATGCATGTGCCTAGGCCAGTTTGGATGTGCATGTGCCTCTGTGTGTGTGTGTGTGTGTGTGTGTGTGTGTGTGTGTATGCACCTAATTGATTTGTGTGCTTACATATGTGCAATTGTGTCACACCCTCCTATATAACAGCACAATATTGAGATCCAGAGAGTTGGCCTGACCCCACAGGTCAACAAGGGAGTGAAGGGAACGAGCTAAGCAAATAATAAAGTTAACTAAAACGTATGAAACCTTCAAAAATCCTGGTCAAAGTTTTCTTTGAAGGTTAGGTTGTAGATTACTCAACTCTCAGTTCCCCTCATCTATAGTCTAATGATTATGTCCAATAATACTCCATTAAAATAGGAAACTCCAGTAAAAGAAACATTATTTTCTTTAACTAGGCAATGACTGATGATCTGAACCAAGAGAAACATACATCTTACAATTCAGGACCACGAAAGCTTTCCTACACACTGAGTGATCCACTAAAATATGTGATTTAATCACTTTATACCTGACAGTTTGGATAAGATATGACCAAATCCTTTTTTTTTCCCTTTTAAATCTTCAACCACCCATGGAAAGTAGCTTATAGATTATTTTTTTCCATGAGTGGTGTTCTACTTTAATCTTGAAATCGACAGAAACTTATTTAGCCTGTTCCAACAAAGCACATGGCTATACTGAGCTGTTACTTCCTTAGTAAACTTCTTTTACTTAGATCATTCATACTTTAACATGGGACAAAATTAAACTCAGAGCAAAAACCACACTAAGCTTTATGCTACACTAAAGTCCCAAACCTTGTGCTGGGAAATGATTTCAGGTTCAGGAGCAAAGGAAGGAATCATACCCATGAATCTCCAGGGGAACAACACTGCTATGGCATATCCTCTCTTCCAGTTTTGGGGCCGTAGTCTCCATGTGACCTGAAATTTTTTAGATAGTGGAGAAGGTTTGTAACGTGGTCCTTTCCCTGTTCCCCACCCTCCAGGACCTTCAAAAACTCAGCTGTAAACTGGCAATGAAACTGGACTCTACAGAGAATGGAATGGATTTTTTGTTGAGCAGGCTGTTTTTATCTGTGGAGAGGTAGGCATAATTTGTTTCTATGGGTTTACTGTTTGTATAAGACCCTGAGAAATCTCTTAGACAGAGGTGAATTTGACTGAATGATTAAGGGTTTGTGCCCATATTGTTTCAAATATCTATAACCATCGCATTTTGCACCCTGAACTCTGTTTTGTACACATCACACATCTTCTAGAGAAGGAGGACAGTGGATGAAACCAGCATGGCTGCCTTTAGGACAGTCTGCTAAACAAATCCTCTTTGATAAATCTTTTTTACCATAGACAAAGTAACACATACAACAAAACTTGGCACAATTCAAAGCAAAACTACATCAAGCAGAACTTTCAGTAACAAAAAAAGCAGTGCATGAGAACCTCCATGCTGTCCCCTAAGGACTTATGATGACAGCCTAACTTGACTGACATCAACTGAAGTCTACAGAAGTTTTGACATTGACTCCAAGGATTTAACCTTTCTTTAATGCTAAATTAATTAGCGTGGAAAAGGCTCAGATGCTACAATGACAGGCTAAAGCAAAAATCAACAGCACTGGAAAAAAACCCTGCTAAAACATCACATTGTAATATCAAAATACATCATACAGGAATCTCTCTCAGTTCTAGACTTACATTATAAAACTTAACTTGAAATTTTAAAATTAGGGAGTTCTTATCACTTCCCATTCCTACTACTTGTGAAGATTTCATTTCAGGGTCCTGTACTTTTTCCTTCTGGCCCTGATTGAGACCAAGGTAACCACAATTGAAACACTGTCCTACCCAATCTCTAGAGAGTTGACTAATCTATATAGGGCACCAACTCCTCTATGAACAACCACTGACACCTAAACTCAGGTCTTGGCAGGTAATGAAAGGGGGATTTTACTTTCAAATACCTTTTGCTAAAAGTACATATATTCTACACACACACACACACACACATACACGGTACATATATATATTTGATTACAGTTAAATTCGTCCATGACAGCCAGTCTGCACAAGGCTCCTCTCTTTGTTCTGGTAACCATGTGGTTGAGGGGTACATTTTGAATGGACACCACTCTTGTACATCCCAGTTATGTAGTCACATGGTGCTAGATATTTTTTTAAAATATTATAAAAATAACTATACAGATTATATTATTTGTTATCATCTTATCACAGGACAGATTCCCGTGAGTATTGCAACAGGCTTCCATGCACTCTCTTGCTGATGTACTTCCATATTGATCAAGAGTAAAGATCACACAGCTAGGGACTTAAAGTCCCCAAATCAGGTAAGAATCCCTTCCCTCCCCCCACCCCCCCCGACACACACACACACCTTGGGACCCTATACCTTCCCCTCAGCAGCACCTCCCCTACCCTCTCTAATTATAGAAAGGGGGGCCATGCCCACCAACACTGCTGTCCTAACTGCTTCTTCCCCATTTCAGCCAGGGCTGTGAGGAGCAGCTGTGTGGAAAGTTATGTGTATCAGGAAACAGTGACAGTGGCAGACTTTCTGAGCCTGCTTCCTGCTCCCAGGCTAGTAGAGAACAGCCGGGGAGACTGGGAAGGGTTGGGGAACCTGCCTGCCACTGACACTGCCACTGTCCCAGGCTAAGCACCCTCCCCATCCTGGCTGGAGCTGGGAAGGAGCAGCTCTGGAGCATCCCACCCCCAAGTCAGCTGGGGATAACAGTGGCAGCATCAGTATTGGCAAGCAGAGGTGAGAGGGGTTGGGAGATGCCACTCAGCATGGAGGGGAAAGGGTGGGATGCTTGGCAGGGGGAAGGGGGGATTCTTACCTGCTTCACTGACTTAAAAAAATCCCTAGCTCCTACTCCCATAGCGTGGCCCAAAGATGGGATAGTATGGCTCAAAGTTGGGATGAAACCATGTCACTGTACCCCCTCTGAATCTGCCCCTGGATGTCTACAAAAAAAAATCTGGAACTGCAAATCGGTACTTCTCTCTCCACCTTATCCCAGTAAGGAAACTTAAAATAGGCAGCTTTTCAACTCCTCCTACTGTTGACTGCCCTAGTAAATATTCTTAACAAAACATCAGACTTAGTCAAACAAAATATATATAGGTACTGACAAATGTGCAGGCCCCCACTCTAACTCATGGTACTTTCCATAAAGTGCCATGAGTTAGAGTGGCCCCCTGACCCAACACATGCTCACCTGTTGGGCTGCGGGGGAGGGAAAATCGAGATCCACTTTGGAGCCAATCGAGTCCTGCCTGCAGCCTCTCCCCTAACCCTGTCCCCCACCCCACCAGTTCCAGGACTGTCTGCAGGAAGGGAGGGGGAGCGAGCTGCAGTTTTCCCAGCCTGAGCTGGAAGACAGCCAATGTCCTGCTTCTATAAAATGTTGTCCAGGTACACTCAAGAGGTCCCAGGTAGAGGGCTATACCCCCCGCTACCAAGGAAGGCAAAAACCCCCACAGTCCATCCACCACATGCAATTTGACATTGGATCTTATACAGCTATATTTTAATTCATGAAAGACTGGTCTCACTACTCTGAGGGGACTGTCCAAATTTTACAGCTTCTACTTTAGCAGATGGGGAACAAAGCTCATGAGTTCAAGAATAGCCAGATTCTTATTTCAAAAGTGTATTTTTTTTAAAAAAGACGAGGGGAAGATTACAGGATTCCATATGCAACAGAAAAAAATGCAGAACTTGGAAGAAAAGAAGAACAAGACAATGGAAAACTTCATTACAGTGAAATACATTAGAGTCTTGAGATTGGTGCCCTTTGAGTGGTTAGAGTTACAGAATTACCTGTTAAACCGTACTTACAGGAATTTTTAACCCACATAAGGACCTTTTTTTATTTCACAGAACACAGGTGAGAATTTTAGGTTAGATGCTGAGAAAAAAGGAGTTGATCATGGACTTAGAACTGACGGAAGATTCTTAGAGCAAGAATTATGAGTAGGGACCTACCAAATGCACAGTGGGGATGAGCTGCAAAGTGGCTCCTTTAATCTTGAAGGTTCCCCTGAGTGCCCCCCTCCCCACCATTGATTGGTGGAGGAGCCCTGTTGCTCACCACTGACTCCTGATCAGCAAGGAGGCAAAAACCACAGTTTTAAATATGGCACCATTTTTGTTGCTCACCACCGATTGGCCGAAAGGCCCTGGCAGCCTCACTCTCTGTTGCTGACCAGCTGGGAGGCAAAAACAGCACCATACTAAAAACCAAGGTTTTCGTTTCCCTGCTGACCAGGAGTGAGCAGCAAGTGTGGGGAGGGAGGGGTGCACAGGGGAACCTGCAAAATTGGCGGGAGTTAGGCAACCGGCAGCTCTTTTAGTTTTGCAGGTTCCCCTATGCGCCCCCTTCCCCCTTCTCCCCCCCACTCCTGATCAGTGAGGAGGCGAAAACCACAATTTTAAATATGGCGCTGTTTTTGTCTCCCGGCCAGTCAACAACAGACAGCAGGACTGCCAATGCCCCTTGGCGAGTAGCAAAAATGGTGTCATATTTAAAACTGTGGTTTTTTACTCCCCACCGATCAGCAGCGAGCGGTAAACAGCAGGGCCCCTCCGACAAAAAACAGTGGGAGGGCACACCAGGAAACCTTCAGGATTAAAGGAGCTGCTGCACAGCCCACTTCCACCATGAATCTGGTAGGTCCCTAATTAAGAATAATTGAATGCATGTTTATAAATTGTTTGCAAAAAAAAAAAAAAAAGCAGACTCCTCCTTTAAACATAGCATATTTTTGTAAATGACAGGGAATAGGGAATAAGAGAAATTTTAAAAAGAAAATGTAGGAGGAAAAAAAAAGTACTTGAATATTACTATCAGAGAAACAAAGAAGAAAGGGTTAAAAAGTAACAGAAAAACAGAGGGAACAAGAAAAAGCTAACACAGAGGACTGAAGCAATAAATGAATCATTCAATGATAATGAACATAGCATAGTAAGAGTAAAATGATACAAATGCAAATCATATGGTGTTAGATAAAGAAGATAAAGGAAATTAGAAACTATGTATAAATCAATCTGGACAAAGACAAAGACATGAGAGAGAAGAAAATAGTTAAAAAAGACAAAGTGCCTCAATAATGAAGGACTTTGATTCTTGAAAATTTCTACTTCTCTGTAGTTGTAATGGGAGTGCTGGTTACCACAAAGTTCAAGGATTTGAGATCTGATGCAATCTATACACTAATGAAGCCACAACTGAATGGCCAAATATCTAGAGGTCCTAATTGCTTCCTAATCATGTAACCTCTCCTACTCATTAGGCTCAAATAACTTTTTGCCCAATCACCCTTCTCAACCCCAAATGCTACTGCAGCCACCCTCCAAGTGGGCATCTTCATCCTCAAGTGTTGAGACTTCACACTGGATGCATCTACATGAGACATTTGCTGCAGAGTAAACTAATTAGCTCCACAGTAAATGTCTTGGCGTCTACATATGCAAGGCTATTAGGCTGGAGTAAGCTAATAAACTCCATAGCAAGGTAGTACTACCCTGCTGTGGGGATTTTTCTCCGCAGCACCACATATGTAGATGCTGACACAGCTGGCTGGGGTCCAAGGGTGCTTCAGTGCAGAGGCTGCCTGCCAGCCAGCCCCACACTGTAGCCCCCTTGTGCCCCAGCCAGTCCCTCCACAGCATGTTGAGCCAGGTTGGAGCAGCCCCAGGCTGGCAGGCTGACCCCCTTGCCTGGGGTTCCTACAGGCCAGGGCTGCTACAACCCAGCTCAATGTACTGCAGTCCCAGGTGCATGTGTAACCACAAAGCCCAGAAGCAATAAACTCGGGCACGATAAGCACCAGAGTTTATTGCTCCACATTAATGTGCACATGTAAACATGCCCACTGTGTACTTTGTTGTGTTAATA